AGCGAAGGCGACAAACAGTAGAGGTGATTGATTTATTAAAGTGACGATATTGAAAGAACCAGGGTTTTGATGGGATATTAATTTGGACTTTGGAATAGTGTTTATATTTTAAAAGTTTAGACTGATGCCAGATACTTTGCCATGTAGACAGAAGGCTGGATCCAGCCTTTGGTAGGAGGTCATATGCATAGAGGCATTGTTTAGGGAGGGAGCCAGATTTGGTGGCTTCTTTAGCTAAATGATCCGCAATTTCATTACCCTGAATCCCGCAGTGGCTAGGGATCCAAGCCAAAACAGTTTTCAGCCCTTTTTTATGGCAGTTGAACAGAGACTTTCTAATATTTAAAATTAGGGGGTATCTTATCTTAGAGTGAAAAGGACTGGATGCAATGCTTTGAAGGCAACTGAGGGAGTCTGAGAAGATGAGAGGCCTTTCCAGATTGTGAGATTCCGCATATAAGACTGCCTCTAAAATAGCTAAAAACTCACCTGTGAATACAGATGAGTCAGGCGGAGAGTTAAAATTTAAAATAATCTTGTATTTGGGGATCCAGACTGCGGACCCAACTAATCCCTCGTCACTTAACTTTGAAGCATCAGTGTACATAATTAACCAATCATGCTAATTTTGGAGGACGAGCATATTTAATTTGTTATTTACTTCAATAGTATTCTTATCTATTCCGAAATTTAGAATAATGTCTGGGTTGAAAATTAGAGCCTCGTATAGGATAATGAAAAGTGGATTGCTATGGGATTGATAAACAGGAGAGTGAACATTGACTAATTTAATATAACTTTTTATAATACATGGCAAATCCTTGTGGGACTAATATGGAGAGTCCCTGACCGACTGATACAAGGAACGAAGTTTGGAGAGGAGAGGATGGTGTGAATAACAAGCAGCGTTGAACAGAAACCTATCTGAGAGATATTGTCTACGTAGAAATAAGGGGGGCTCAACACATTTAACTTGTAGAGCAGAAATGGGAGTAGATTTCATGGCACCTGTTATTATACGTAGACATTTTGACTGAATTTTGTCCAAGGTATTAAGAGCAACCAGGTAGCATTTTGCTACATGGTTCCAGTAAAAAGCAGCCATAGTCAAAATGACTTCTAATAAGAGCATTGTATAAAAGCTTTTGGGAGTAGGGGTGGGAACCCCACCAGGCTCCTGACAGGGATCGGATTACATTGAGATTTTTTTCACATTTGGAAGCAATATATGATAGATGAGGAATTCCTGTCATTTTCTTATCCAGAATAACTCCTAGAAATTTCACCTGATTTTCAGTGGGGATTAGGGTATTTTCAATATATATGGACACTTCTGGTATTTGCCTTCGCCTAGAGAAAACCACAGTACTGCATTTCAAAGGAGATATTGATAGGCCATGCTCAAACAGCCAGTTATTAAGATAGTTGACAGCTTGGGATAAACGGGAGGTAGCTTTGGCAGTAGAGGCATCAGTTACAAACAAAGCTATGTTATCTGCATATTGCAGGACATTACCTAAGTAATTCACAGATCTGTCTAGATCATGAGTCTAAAGGCTGTATAACAAAGGGCTCAAGACAGAGCCTTGTGGTAGTCACTTCCAGGTAAATCTAGCTGGTAAAAATCTCCCTTCAGAACGGACTAATATGCGTCTATGTGAAAGTAAGTTTGATACGAGATTTGTTATTCTCTCAGGAATGTTCAGCTGATGCATTTTTTGCCTGAGCAGTGGGAGAACAACATTATCGTATGCCGCACAAACATCAATAAAAGCGCCTACCAGAAAATTGTTATTGGAGAAGGCAAGTCTTATATCGGATACTAAAATGCTAAGGCTATCCATTGTGCTAAAACCTTTTCTAAAACCAAATTGGCTCTTTGGTATAATGCCTCTATTTTCAAGAATCCACTCAAGTCGATTTTTTACGAGGTGCTCCATGATTTTAGACAAGGATGATGAAATAGCAATAGGGCGATAACTTGATGATGAAGAAGGGTCTTTGCCAGATTTTAGAATGGGTATAATAATATGAGTTTTCCAATCATGAGGAATGGAACCGGTTGTAAAAGCAAAGTTAATCATGTTTAAAAAGAACTGCTTACACTTAGTACCCATATTAACTAAAAATGAGTAGGGTATACCATCAATGCCAGGAGTGGAATCCTTTAGGTGCCTAAGTACTAACTGCAGTTCAGCTATTGAAAATGGTTCATTAAGGTTATTAAGAGAGTTAGATGGATGAGGAGGGAATGATTTAGAGTTAGGAAATATCTCTTCTTCCAATGGAACCCAGGGGGGAGCCAGTCTGGTACTGAAGTCGTCTAACCAGTGGGAAGGATCTGCACAAGGGGGATTACTATAATTTAAAGCACCACGGAAGCGCCTGATACTTTTCCAAACAAGAGAAGAAGGTGATCGGGGAGATAAGCTCTCACAGAATGAAAGCCATCCTTTTTTTTCTTTTCGGAGAGAAGTTTTTTGGTCTGAGCAGCTATTTTTTGATAGTCTAGAAAATTTTCCATGGTCATGTTAGAGGAATATAGTCTTTCTGCAGCCTTTCGTTTTCTAATAATTGAGGAGCAGTCAGCATCCCACCATGGAGGTGAAGAAATTTTTTTGTGGAGGAATTCTTCAAAGGGAAAATTTTGCTGGCTATATTATTCAGAAGGGTTATAAATTGGGAGTAGACACTCTGAAAGTTATCTAAAGAAACTGTGGGAAGGTTATTGATATGAAGTTCTGATTCTGAGGAAAATACGTCCCAATCAGCTTCAGACAGGTTGAATTTGAAAAGGGGAGATATACTTCGAGCAGGGACACATCTATTACTTAGGTTTAAGAGGATGGGAAAGTGATCACTACCAAAAGAGGAAGGAAGAGTTTTCCATGATATGCTAGCAGCCAAGATTGGAGAGCACAATGACAAGTCTACTACGGATCTAGTATTCTGCGAAGGGTAGGACATTCTGTTGGGAGAGCCATCATTTAGAAGACAAAGATTAAATTCATTGAAGACATCAAGTAGCAAATAAGAAAAAGAGTCAGTTTTATGGGAACCCCAGATAACATGATGACTGTTGAAGTCTCCTAGAACAATGTAAGGTGAGGAGATGCTTGATAGGATTAAACTGAGTTCTGGAATACAAGAAGGAGTGGGTGATGGAATGTAGATGGATAGAATTGTGATGTCCAAAGCTTTAACAGCTACTGCATTAATATTGCCTAGTATAGGAGGAAGCTGTATAGGTGATAAGGGAATGGTCCTGTTTAGTAGGATCAGAGCACCGCCAAAGCCGTCACTCCTATCACTACGACAACAGGAGAAGCCTGGGATTCTAAATGGGGACCCTGGCTTAAGCCAGGTTTCCGATATTGGAAGTATTGAAGGATTATAAGAGTTAATTAAGTGAATCATCAAAATTGCCAACAATATCTGTAACGGAGGCCACAAGATTTTCTAGAAGATTGTCATTAGAGGATATTACATTGTTTTGTAGTGCATGTCCATTGGGAAGAGATGAGGACGGAGTACTTGTAATGTTATAATGTGAAACTTTATCTGAAGGTTGCACTGGGATAGATTTGGTTTTATAGATGGTTTTCCTATAGGATTGGGAAGGAGATGGAAAAGTAGGAAGGTTTATAGGAGCTTGAGTAGAGGGGAAATGGCTTGCAGGAACTTGTGAGGATGCAACATCAGAATAAGGTCTTCTGACAGCTGGGAAATGAGCAGAAGCTTCAAGGTATGACACATTCTCTTGCGACATTACTATCTTGATAGCTTTTTGCCGTGAGTGTTCAGGGCAACTTTTTTCAATGGCCGAATGATTTGCAGAGCTGAAAAGACAGGTTGGGGAATCTGTGGGACAATTTTCTCCAGTATGCTCTTTGCTGCATTTAAAGCAGCGTGATTTGGATCGACATTGCGCTTTGACATAACCGAAACGGCAGCACTTTAGACACTGGATGGTAGGGAGAAGGTAAGTCTCTACAGGAATTGATGCATAAAAGCAGTATATATGGGAGGGGAGCACTTGTCCAGAGAATGTTAGGACAACAGTTTGAGTAGAGACCCACTCTACTTCATCGCCCTTCTTGACCTTTCTATTAAGTCTTCTGGCTTTAATGATTTCCCCTCTGCCAGGAGGGAGCTCAGATTCACAAACTAATTCCTCCATAGAGATGTCCGTTGGGATACCTCTAAAGACACCCATACGAGTAACATTAAAGGTTGGAATGACAGCAGAAAGTTTATATTTCGAAAGAAACTGAGAGTCAATAAAATTATTAGCATCAGTAGCTGTTTTAAAAGCAATTGAAACTCTATTACGCCCTAAGATTTTGATGCCCTGTTTTTCAATATTGGCTACTTTATTTTGTGAAAGGATATGGCCAATTTTCACAGGTCTAATTGTATAACCTGCTGATGGATCAGGTTCTGATCGACTTAAATGTATAACGAAGGGGCCTTTATCGCTATCTACATACTTATTTTTCTCTTGGAATTCAGGATGGACGAATGTATTTTGGTAGGAGGCCGAAGTGTGATCTTCGTGCCCTATTCTTTTCTTTGGGAAGCTGGGTAAAGGATCCGTAAGTTTACGTTTGACAGAGTTAGAATCACCGCATAAATCCGGTGGTTCAGCATCTCCCCCGTCAACATCCATCGTCGTCACAAAGATCTACATCAACTATCTAAACAAATAATACTCACCAACTAACAAACAGAACACACACAGACAACACAAAGAAAATTGAGAGAGTTTACGTAAATTTAAATCGAAAAAGAATTAAAAACTTATTTCAGTAGAAAAAAACGTGTAACCACCAATCACTCTGACAGCAGAATCGAAAGTAAGACTCAAATTCCTTTGCAATTCCTTTGTCTAAAAAATATGTCAATCTGACAGCTGACACTGACAGCCGCGATGAGTTTTTATTTTATAATTTATTTCTTTGTGTTCTTGATTTTAGTTGACAAAAGTTATTATACGAAAAATGTCAATTCAAATAGAAAACAATTTAAAAAATGGAGATAATCCCGAAATATTTGAACAAAGGGCCCATTATTTGCCTTGTAAAATAGAAGTAGATGGTGCCGCAAATGTTGAAAAATATTTTGAACCGTATGTTGTTGAAAATGAGAATGGAGGTATAGAATGTTTGTTGTTAATCATTTTAGATATAGATATTGTAATTTTTGTCAGGCTGCAACTGTGCTAGTCATACACAAATAGGTTGGCTCGACCAGGGTAAATCGTGCTCTCACAGAATACCAGTGTCAATGCCAATCAGAAAGATGCTGCTGTGCATCTCCTGTTTCATTTCCCCTCCGTCGCCTCTTCTTCTTTAATTTACTTTTTTCTTCTCTTAAAATAATTTTGCCAATGTCAATGCCAGTGACAACAATTTTTTTTATTTTTTTTTTGTGATTGGCTTCTAATCTACAACAAAGGACAACACAAACATTTATAATTCTATCACCAACAATGATTAGTATTATGTGACAAACAACAAACACCTCACAGCCTGCAATTATATACTGGTTTTCTACAACCTTTAGACCAGAACACTACAGTACAAATACTTGTTAGTGGTAGAATTAAGTAACTACCTACATACCCTCTAGTTCATACCCAGACAGACCTATGCTGAAACCTAAGATTAGAATTGTAATATGTCTCAATCATTGGATTTAGACCTGTTTAACACCAATGTTGCTTCAGCAAGTTGAGTTTTTTGTGAAAACTTCATGATAATTTTATTAGTGTTTTTTTTATAGGATAGGGTGATAAACGAGCACACAGTCCATCTGATGGTAAGTGGTTGCTGTGACCCATAGACATAGACAGTTTAACTGTACAGGTAAACCGGTGCGTGTATGTCGCACAACTGTGTAGGTTTCCACATCTGTACAAGCAAGTCGAAAAAATATGAATTTTTATATTTTTTGCCTGCCGGTATACCTGTGCAGTTTAACTGTGCAAGCAAAACTGAACTTGTGTGGCGGTCGCCTGCGCAGGCGTCAGTTGTCCGGTGAAAGCAAGAGGGGAAAAACACTTGTATGTTCTCCCTGTTGCAAGGTATCTCAATGTCACTGTCAGTCTTTCATGAGGCGATATAGATTTTTCACTTTTATAGCTTTTAGTCACCGCTGACAACAGTTTAAGATATGTTTTTTCATCCATTCTTAGATAATTACAGTAATCTTTCAGCTCAAATTTCAATTGTTTCAATAACTTGACATGAGAGTACTGTTTTCTTTGCAGTAAGCATGCTTTCCACCACTGTTCACGGTGTCTTCATTTAAATTTTCTTTTCTTTAATAAAACAAATAATAAACCTATTAACGCTACTGTGTTGAGATCAAGCGTCGTTGCCGGTGCCATGGTTTCAACTGAGAGCTTCTACAGGTTTACCGCTACGTGTATGGTCTCTACTCAGCTCAAGTTTACATGTAGAGTTGTACTGTACAGGTAAACCTTTCAGGTACACCCTAGCGTGTATGGCCTGCTTTAAAAAGTATGGTTCTGTCAAATAATACTCATACAATAACGAAACAGTGAAATGGAATTTGTCTTGTACAAAGCCTCCCGTTGTTTTGGTTTTCATTTGTTTTATAAAAAGGTATAAAAAATCATTTAGATGAACGAGTTCTTCCTATGAAAAATTCGATTTTTTTATTTTCAGAACTATCTGCAACATTTCGTGGGCATCCACTTGATGGTGTGAATATGAGTCTTCCAGATGGGTACAGAGCTATTCTGGTTACTGAAGCCAAAAAGCCATTAGCTGATGATGCTGACCGGAGATTCCAGGTAAAATTAGATTACTGTCACTGATATCTCACAAATATCCAAAAAAATATTTAACAAATGACATTAAGCATCCCACGCTTTTTTACAATAAACTGAAACTTTTTGAAAATTATTTTCTACTTTTTAGTTCGGTTATCTACAAAAGTATGTTTTTTTTTAGTTTTTTAAATTATTATTTTTCATATTCTGGGCTTACGCTTCCTCGGTGTGATACTAGACAGTTCAAAGAGTAACAGATTTAGTGTGCTTTTTATATTTTTTTTATAATTATAATAATAATAATAATAATCACATAACATTCAAACTACAATATCTGAGAAACTAAGTAATTATCAAGAACTTGCCATAGAAATTAAAACTCAATGGAAAGCACAAAATGTTCACATCCTCCTGATAGTTCTCTCATCCACCGTTATTATACCAAAATCACTCGCACAAAGCCTTAAAACACTACACATTCCTACTCATACACTCCACATATATCACATGCTCCAAAAAGTCACCATCCTCAACACTTGTCGCATCACCCGAAAGTTTCTGACTTCTTCTACTTTATCATCCACTTTTACAATTTAAATTTCCCCTCACACATTTGGTACCGAACCGTATGTGCGGTGTTTCAAACTCTCAAAGAAGAGAGGAATTATAAAGAATTTATATAATAATAATAATAATTTTTATAATAATAATCTCATCTGAGGCGACTGGGACTCCGTGACGGACCGCTCCAAGCCTAAATGCAGAAAGGCGGTGCTCCTCGATACCGCCCGCATCGTCCGCCGGTTTCTTTCCCATCCGGGCTTCCATCTGGTTGGGTTTTTATTTATTTATGTATTTTTTATGTATTTATTTTATTTTATTGATATTTATGTATGTTTACCATTCTAAATTACAATTATATATTTATACTGCCCAACCAGATGAGAAAACTATAGATACCCCATAATAATAATAACAATAAAAATATATTTTTTTTAGGTGGCCGGAGGGTTTAAAGAGTTTGTGTATTGGAACTGGGATAAGAAACCATCTAAGAACGATAATATAGTTAAGGCTTTCGATTGGATTGATATTGCGGAGGCTGTAAGTATTTTCAACCGACTTCAAAAAAGGAGGAGGTTCTCATTTCAACTGTTTTTTATATGTGTTATCTCAGAACTTCTTTCCAGGTGAACCGATTTCGATAATTCTGTAAAGGCTGGTGCTTCTCATGTGGTCGCAATTCGTATTTAATTGACTTCGACTACATTGATGATGTTCTCATTTTATTTAAAAAAAATTATAGGATAGGGTGGTAAACGAGCACGCTGCCCACCTGATGGTAAGTGGTTGCTGTAATAATAATAATAATTTTTATTGACAAATATAGCCTTAAACTTAATACAAAGTTATTGTAGATAAATTGTAACAAGATGGCTAGCCTAAATGTCCTAGAAATAAGTTGATCCCCTGACTTTTATGTTAGGGAAACCTGTGTTATGAAAGTCAGTGGTTCGGCTCTTTAAAAGTTATTCTATATAACAGCATAGCGAGTTTATTTGTGACCCATAGACATCCACATCTATCCTCAATAAAGAATCAAATATTGTCAATGCGTTGTCACCCGTGAGGACTAAAATGGAATGCCTCTTCTCCAGTAAAAAGTGTCTCCGGTTCATACGAAACGAAGAAATATCATCACCCCATTTTTTATAGAATAAGTGTGACCAGCGAGCACACAGTCCACCTGATGGTAAGTGGATGCTGTGGCCCATAGACATTTACATCTATCTTCGTTTGCGAATCAAAATGCAGATGCATTGTTAGCCATGAGGACTAAGATGGAATGCCCCTTTTCCAGTAAAAGGGGTTTCCGGGTCTCTGCACTTACCATACGAAACACAGCAGTGTTAAGCTGCTATTTTACGCTGGTATCTGAGAGCGTGGTCCTTCCCCGGTCGAGCCGACCCATACGTGCTACAACTATACTACTAATATAACTGCAGCATGGCTCTACCACGTAAATATTTAAGTCGGTTGTATAAAATTTTCTAATTTTACCATTTGTTTAACATTGGTGTAGCTAACAAATGGGTTATTAATACAATAGTAGTTATAAGGTAAAATAAGTTAAATACATTCTTAATTGTTAATGCAATAAGGTAGTATACATCTCAGGGTGGACTTATTAGTGTGGAAAACCGAATATTAATAAGTCCTCTTCAAATCATTGCAACAAAAAAACAACCGTAAAAGAACCGAAGATCACGCTATCGAAGTTACCGATTGACTTTGAATATAGAGAACAAGATACATACTACCGACGAGAAATCTCCCCTTTTGCTTCCACAACCAAATTGGTGACAACACCACCTTAACTTGTTACCGTTTGTGTTACAGCATATTGAAGTACGCTGCTGAATATAGTCCTTCCTTATAGATAGCCCCATAGAAATATTTGATGTTGTAGCCACGTGTTATGAAATTAACAATTTTAATTAAAAAAAATTATTATGTCCCATCCCATTATTATCGATCTCAATAAATTAATGATGAAAATGATATAATACATTTTTATTAATATAAAATAAATAATCTTTCACTTATACCGTGAAATTAATGTTGTTTTTGTTTTCATCATCAGTCCTTGAAGTCAACTGCTGGATATAAGCCTCTTCCATTGTAGGAGTTAACAGAGAGTAGGAATAGAATAGAATAGAATGATTTTTATTCAATATGGATTATTACATAATACTTATTGAAAGTCATTATTTTATTTACCACTGGTTCGGAAAATACCTCTGTCCTGGGAAGAACCAGCAAGAAACCCAGCGGGATTTTTTTTAAACATATTTTCACTTAACAATAATTTTGTTTATACAATTTTAAATGAATTTTCATAGAATCAGCATGGTGGCGATCACCTTATTCCCAGGGGTTATTTTCATTCATGTATTCCTTGATATTATAATAACCCTTTTTGTACAGTTTTTCTTTAATAAAACTTTTAAACTTGTTTATTGACAAACTTTGAACATGTTCTGGGATTCTGTTGTAAAAGCGTATACATTGCCCCATAAATGAATTACTAATTCTGTGGAGTTTTGTAAGTGGCATTACAAGCTTATGTTTGTTCCTAGTGTTTAAGGTATGAACATCCTTATTATTATTAAAGCTATTTATGTTTTTATGTACATACATTACATTTTCATAAATATATTGCGATGCCAAAGTAGGGCTATCATCGTCACGCTAGGCATGCGGATTGACGACCGTAGTATCAGATATCTCCGGTCTGGGTATGGTGATGAGATATAGCATCTATTGGAAGCTTAATCTAAGATCTTTCTGGCATTTAGTCGCCTCTTACGACATCTACAGGATTTAATTTTTTAATGTGGTACAGCCGTGCTGTAGCTATATTAATTGTGGGTATAGTTGTAGCACGATATATTAATTGTGGGTATAGTTGTAGCACGATATATTAATTGTGGGTATAGTTGTAGCACGAGTGGGTCGGCTCGACCGGGGCAGGACCACGCTCCTACAGAATACCAGGCTAAAATAGCAGCTTAATGCTGCTGTGTTTCGTATGGTGAGTGTAGAGAACCGGAGACCCTTTTTACTGGAAAAGGGGCATTCCATCTTAGTCCTCACGGCTAACAATGCATCTGCATTTTGATTCGCAAATGAAGATAGATGTAAATGTCTATGGGCCACAGCATTCACTTCCCATCAGGTGAACTGTGTGCTCGCTTGTCACACTTATTCTATAAAAAAAAAGTGGGGTGATGATATTTCTTACACGACAGTAGGCAAAATAATAAAATAAATTGATGCAATATTTATTTTACTTTAGAGAACCGGAGACTCTAAAACAAGGCTTTCTATCTCATTACTGATGAAATTTTGCTTGTTTGCAGTTTGGTCCAACTTGAGAGATAGGATAGTTTTAATCCCGATAAGTGACTCAATATTTTTTATTACGAATTTAAGGATTTTTATATGACAAACGGTCGTCGGAGAGGGTAGAACAACGTCTGCCTGACTAGCACATACAAATAATATGTTTTCCTTTCAGATACATGGAGATTGAAAATTCATAGTTACTGGACATGTTGGGAAAAAATGAAGAAATACGAGAAGAGATTGAACACATCTTCGAAGCATGTGCCTACAGTTTACAATTTTGTTAATTAAAGTATAAGTGATTATTAAATTATATAACATTAAATCAAACAATTTTTTACGGATTTTATCGCGTTTAATGACTTCAAGATACTGTAAGCTCATTCTTCGTAAATCGGACCGAAAGTTAATATTCAAAAACTGAAGGTAGCCGGGCTAACTATGACATCAGGACGTCAAACACCTCAGTCATCCCCGTGACCATGGGTGCTGTAAAGCACTCGAAACGTTGGGAATTATAAAGTAAAACGCGATGAAATCCGTAAAAATTAGTTTCATTTATAAAATTACATCGAGCGTTTTCGTTTTGGTTCATTAATGACTGCAATATAATGACGCATCAACAACTGAACAACAACTGAAGTCTAAATCACGCTATCGAATTGCCTGAACGACTACTATATACAATCGCCCCGCCCCGGCTTCGCCGCTGTGCGATTTATTAATGAGGCATCATTTAGATCTACTCATTAAACTGAGAAATGTACCAGTCTCAGTGATAGCAGTGGTTTTCAGTCCAGCAGTACATTTGCCCTTCATGTCTGAAAAAAATAATAATTGTGTAACTTAAATTAAAAAAAAAAACCGAGAACAAGAAGAGCTCGTGATCTTCCACCGGCTGAAAATATTTTCTTAAAACATAGATAAGAACATTCTCGATTAAGGCACCTTTCAAACGAAAGAAACTTAATCAAACTCGGTTCATCCGTTCAGGAGCTATGGTGCCGCAGGAGACACACATATACATACATCGATATATATGTACTACGCACTAGATTTTGCATTCCGAACATTGACTATGTTCAACTGAACTGTACTGCAATCCGTACAAACTAAATATTTCGTAAATTGAAGATTTGTGAATTCCATAAGATAATTATTATTACATTTTATTTAGAAATATGTTTGTTGAGATTAAAATGAGAGTATTTTATATTAAATTCTTATATTTATTTTATATTAATATCTTATTTTATATCAAATTAAAGTCCACATTACTCCCGCGCATGTGCGAAGACATAGAGTAGCGCACAATTTTTGTTTGGAATAGCTTCTCTAGTATGCAGTACATATAACTCAATAGATACACATACTACAAACTAACCCATCTGTTTTCGTTGGGGGTTGATAAATGCATCAATTGTAGATTTATCGTTTTTATCACAAAGCCTTTTTTAATAATAGAATAGGTTTTTGAGCAAGGTTTTGGCGTCACTTAAAATTTACGTAGGGTTCTTTCTTTGCAAATAAAAACAATACATACAGTCGAATTGAGTACATCTTCCTTTTTGTAGTCGGTAGTAAAGCTGGCTCGTTGGTCTCGGGTTCGTATACCGAGTCGGGCCAATAAAAATCAGTTATCGAGCTTTTCCATCAAAAATATCTCAGTAGCTGCCCGGGGTTAGGAAGTTGGCGGTGTCTCACCCCCGTGCCTCGGAGAGCACGTAAAGCCGTGGCTCCTGCGCCTGATCTCTCTCCGGTCGTGTCGGAGCCGTCCCATCGGACTATGAGAGTGAGCAAGAGAGTGCACCTGTGTGTGCGCATACACTTGGACACTATAATTCAGTCCTGCGGGTCGGTCTGGAGGACATTATTATAATATCTATACGAATAAATAAAATTGATGTGTCTGTTTGTAACGTCACAATAACAGCTTTTCAGTAAATACATATGAAAGTTTATACCGGTATTTATAACAAAAACACAATTTTTAAAATTTTTGTGTCTCTGTTCGTTCCGGCTAATCTCCGAAACGGCTGGACCGATTTCGATGGGACTTTCACTGGCAGATAGCTGATATTATAAGGAGTAACTTAGGCTACTTATATTTTAGAAAAAGTATTAGGATTCCGCGCAACATAATTAAAACCCTAAATTACACGCGGACGAAGTTGACTGGCCTGTTGGTCTAGTGGTTAGTGACCCTGACTGCTACGCCGGAGGTCGTGGGTTCGATTCCCACCCAGGACAAATGTTTGTGTGATGAGCACGATCATTTGTTCTGTGTCTGGGTGTAATTTATCTATAATATTTATGTATTTAGAAATATATAAGTATGTTTATCAGTTGTCTAGTACCCATAACACAAGCTCTGCTTAGCTTGGGACTAGATGGCGTTGTTTGATAGTTGTGGAATATTATTATTATTATTATATTATTATTATAACAGCTAGTTATTATTATATAATCAATCAAAGAAGCAATCACAATAGACGTATTGGTCGCATTGGTATTGGTAATGGTAAGGTCTTCTTCTTGGTTGTGACCTTCATGACTGAAGGTCGTGTCAGTAATTTAGTGATTTCGTAGCGCTGGTCACTATAGCCCTCCATTCTGTCTGGTCCTCGGCTTTTCGCATTTCGGGCCGTAAGTGAAAGGCTAGTTAGTGATTTGACCTGGTCCAACCAGTGCCCCCCCCCCCCCCAACCTTGCCTACGACTATAAAACTATCCAAGTCATTAGGCGGGCGTCGGGCAACGTGACTAAAATAACAGAATTGTCTGGTAACACACTGGTGGCACAGCCTACATACCGTCAGTCATCGCGTCTGATGTCGGAAAAGCCGACATGAACAATAAATTGCTGGGGTTGTCAGAACGGGAAGTAATAATAAAATAAAAAAAACTGATTTTATTTTATTTCAAGTTTAAACAAATTAATGTATACGTAGAAACTGATGAAACTAATTCCTTATTTTTAAATGAGGATGACCCACAGTTTTTTACCGCACATGTAGTGTTAACCATTTTAATTTATTTGCGCGATAGGACAACCCTAGCTAAAGGGCTAAGCCCGCGTCTCGTCCCGCACCGCACCGCATGATTGCCCTAGACGCCTTCGATGACCGATTGTTAGTAGTAGTTGGGACTGTGCTGGTGGTAAGGAAAGACCTAAGTAGCAGCTTGCATACATTATTATTTTTTTTAAATTCAGATTATCGACGAGCAGCGTCAAAACGCCCATCTGCTAAGCGGGTCAATTAGGGCTAATAATCTTCACCAGATGTCGCCAGTTGGTACTGAGGTAAAGTAATTTGTTACACAATGTAATTTAATTGAGAAATTAGTTTTAAATAATTATCTATCAGTGTCTAAAGTATTATAATTAATAAACCAAATAATGCCTCAGTGGTTTGTTCTTTAATTTTTTGCACATTTTTAACTCTTTTTAAGGTTCTATAGTTACACAAGAGTTTGAAGTTTTTCCTATGTTTATAAGTTTAACCATGGAACCTTTTAGTTTCGCCATGTCCGTTCTTCCGCCTGCGGTTTTGCTCAGAGACCCTAGGTGTTACAAATCTGTAATTTGATATAGTTATAGATATTATTCACGCCTAGAAAACTGTGAAATAATATCTTAAAAACATTTTTATACATACAAGTAAACGGAGAATGGTATTTTTTTTACCCGCCTATGCCTTCATATGGGGTATCGTTGGATAGATGTTTCAAAAAGGTCTGGGGGCGTGGAACAACATCTTTTCGATTCAGGGGTCCATTTGCGTAATATTTAGCTTTAAAGTGGTATTTTTCATTAGAGTCATGTGTCTCCCCCCTCTACCAACGAAACCGCAGTTTTTGAAAATGTGAAAAGTGTACACGATAGTAGCATATATAATGAAGTTAAAAGAAACAATATCTCAGCTAAGTAGAATCAAGAGGTTAACGAGTAATAATTGACCAACTTATAAAATGCACTTGGATTAGTAAACATTTTGTTACTACTCCATAGAAAATGATCTAACTTTGAAATGTTATTGTAAACTGTTAAAAATAAACGTTTTATATGAATAAAACGACGGGACTTTTGCGGGATAGGCAGGGAGGATCTTTCTTACTTACTACTTTCACTCATTTTTTAGTTGGTAGTTATTGCAGGCCTCATTCAAAGTATTCATACAATCATACAGCCTAATACAGTTTCATTCGTCACACTCTTGGTTTACGCGGGCGATCTCAGGATAATTTAAGGCAGTGGTGGTTTACGTGAAGGTTCGTTACGGTCATATGTATATCTTGGGGTTGCACTGTTGGGAATATATAGATAGATAGTCAACTGTGATCATGTTTGTACCTTGGCATGTGAATGATTTGATGCAAATTGTACAATTTTCAAAATCGAAAAGTTTTTTAATCTTTTTTGAATACTACTCCCTATAAGTCTGATTTGAACATAAGACCTTCAGTTACGATCTTCCTAATTGGGCCCATTTTTAGTCGTTATAGCGGTCAAACCGCGAACTTACTTATTATGCTCATTATCAAGAAAGCCCACGTATTGTGACGGGCAACTACGGAACCCTACCTCTACATTATACGCACTTGGTCTGTTCTTTTTTAAATTTTTTTCTTTTGTGAATATATCTGGTTTGTTTATTTATTCTTAATCTAATTAATATAACTATAATAAATTAATATAAAGGAAACATTAACCTTTACATTTTTCGAACAAATTAACTTTCCCCGCTATGATATCTGTCAAATGCGGGTGTTTAGGCCAAATATTGGCATTTGAAAGATGCATTCAACACGCGCGTCCTTCCGATGGAATTTAGAGGTCACCGTCGCCCCCTCTCACGTGTGGGTCGCTCGGCAGAGGGCGCGAGCGCCGGACGCGTGTGCGTAGCAGTGTATTGAACGCCGCGGCATTGTCGACTTGTGTTGTTTGCGACCTTTATTGGGTCAGGCGCGGCTGGTGTCCATAATTATACGCGTCGTTTGAATTTGCTATCGAATATTTAGGTCCGGTTGGGACCGCCTTGAATTGAGTGTCTGTTTTGAGTGTTACGTGACAAGAGGCCTAATTTGAGTTTTGAGTGATTAAATTAACTGATTGCCAATAATTGTTGCGCGAGGGACTTTTGTATTGAGTTTGAATTATTAACTTAACCTTGATTGACAGTAATTT